CATTTATTGAAAATACCTTCCAATTGCTGTTGATGAATTGCAATATACCAAATTCGATTTTTGACAAAATCAAATAGCTTGGAAAGTTGATTTAAAGACTTCTTTTCTTGAATAAATTCATAAAATTCATAATTAAACATTGGATCTTTCAATGCATTTGATAAACCAAAGTCATTGAATTCACTATGCTTGATATCCTGCTCAATAAACTTCATATAGCATAACTCCCGTAATGAAGGTACAGATTGCCATGGCATTCCTAAAACAATGTAAGCGAAGCTTCTTGCAAATTCTCGTCCATACTTTCTGCCCAAGTGACATACACTTAAAGGCAAATGTAACCAACAATTTAACCACTTTTGATGAAGATCTAATGCCTTCTGAGTGCCATGTTCAAGATCTAAAATAAGATCATTTAATTGATTATCATCTAAAATATTCGTGCTTTCTAATAATTCTTTTTCGAAAAAAGAATATGGATCTTTGGCAACATTTCGAAGTTTCATCGTTAAACGTGCTATAAAATCAGACATTTGATGCGCTTTTCGACCAGGAAGAGCCTTTATTAGTTGTAATTCAGAATCATATTCTGTAAAGAATTTGACCATAGGATAATAAAAATTTTGTCCAAAGCGAACTAAAAGTTTAATCTGAATATTTAGAACCGAATCATGAAGCCAATCTTTAAAAAGTTCCCATTTTTTAATATATGTTTTGGGTGTATTATTTCGCACTTTAAGATGAAATAAAAACCAATCCGTGAACTGTATATGAACATTTCTTCGTTCTAAATATTGCTTAGCACATATCAACTCGTAAAGCCATCTTGATCGAATTGGCTGTTGATATTTCGTTAATTTATATTGAAATCGTTCTTCATAAAGTTTATAAATATGATCTGATCGAATTCCCATTGGTTTATCTTTGTCAGTTTTGTCATAACCATCATGAAGATCCCACGCCAAATATAGTAAATTTGCTGGAAGTTTTTTTTGTGAAAATCCACTTATATTAGGTAACTTGCCAAAGGCAACTTCTTCAAAATTATTCATAATAATGTGCGCAACATGGAGCCCACATGGAATTCGAAATACATTAGTGCTATTTATCTTATTAAATAAAGCAATAGCGCCTCCAGCCTTGCCACTCATGTAATTAGTGTTATCTGAAACACAAATATGACATTGTTGAAAATTTATTTGATAATGACTAAGAGTGTCATATATAGCTTGAGCCACTAATTTTCCTGAACAATT